ACAGAATGCAGAGAGCTGTCAAGGCAATGCAGCTCAAGTTCAGTGAAATATACTATATTTTTGCCTTTGAGGATGCCAAAAGCTAAAAGCAGGATTGAAAAATCAGCATTATTTTATGGATACAGTGGAAGAACTGCAGAACTGAATAAGGTGTGACCTTCCTGGTACACTTAGGTGTGTACAAGTTACTATGCTGTGAATTAGCTGCAGTCTAAATATGATTCACTGGGGTCCACGCTAACAAAGAATTGAAATAGTCTGATCAATAAGTGCCAAAAACATTTATCAGCACCTGGAAATCACTTTTACTGATCAGCAGTTAGAGCCTGGCAGTATTTAAGTATGAGAAAAATGACAACAAATTAGAAGAAACTGAGAAAAGGGTAACAAACTGATTAATGTGCTGAAGAATTGATTAATGAGGAAAGATTAAAAGACCTAAATATGTAAAGGTGCTAAACGACAGTTCGTATTTTATCATATAAGCCAAGAAAGGAGAAAAATTGTTTGGAATGGATGAGTGAGGACAAGTGAGATGGGCAAACCTATTTGTGCCAGCCCTGGGAATGTTTTGCAGCTTCCACTACTGTTCCTGCCACCACTCCGGATAAAAGTCAACAGAAGGTGTTAGCGTTGGGAGGAACCAGAATGTGCTGGAGAAACACGTGTCTGAAACTGGGGTTTGAAAGGTAAGGATTTGGTTTTGCAATGGCTACAGAATCCTTTGTGACTTGTGGCTGTTGCTTGGAAAAAAGAAATCTCTTGGTGTCCTGGTTTTCCCAGCAGCAAAATGGGCTCAGTAATATTTCTTGATTCATGGGGACGTCGTGACAGGAAACTCAATGAGAAGAAATGTATCTCTAGCTTAAAAATCATCTTATTGGACCAAATGGGCTTGTAGTCATGTCTTTTGACTGAATAAAGATATTCTGGGAAAGGAGAGGCAAAACAACTGCAAGAAGAGAAACAGGTCTGGCACCGTGGTGAATGGAAAAGTGAAAAGCAGAAAATTAGGGAAGAAAAAAAAAGTAGGTAAACATCTGAAAAATTAGAGGTTAAACGAAAAAGAGGGAAATGCAGAAAAGAACTACAGGAGTGAAATATAAGATGCAAAACAGAGTGGCATAGCAAAACAAAGGAAAGAGATCTCAACTTTCCAAGAACAACTAGCCTGATGCCTCAAAAATTGGGGAGGCGTTGGGGCAGCTTTATGCACTGGAAAAGGACACTGCTGCACAGGGCAGCGGGCTGCTGGGGGGTCACTGAAATGGCCACTGCTCCACTGCCAGTGTTGCTTGTCTCAGAGCCATGAAGAAGTTACACTGGTGGGGAGGGGGCACAAGCAGTCTTCTCTTTCCCACCTCCTAGAAGCAGCAGCATCAAGCCCAGCGTTCCTGAGCTCTTGCCCTCACTCTGTCCTCATCACTGTGCCCGCAAATTCAGTTTGGCCTAAACTGTCTTTTTTTCCTAGCTTTCGGAGGTGTTAAATACTTGAATCACTTGATCAAGCTTCTGGACCGTAAGTTAAACATGTGAAACTTTAACAGAGGGCAAGTATTGATCTGAGACTGGTGCCACATACTTAGTCCTGGACTGAAAGGAGCAAAAGAGTACTGTGCTAAACACTCTTTCTGTTCAGCAAAGAGCCTTCCAGGCAAGAAAACTTCTCCAAAATTACGTTTGCATGGCAGGTGGGTGAGTGTGGCAAGATAAAGCTGTGCGGGGTCTGTTGGATAGGCTCCCATGTCCCACACAGCGACCTCGCTCTAAATCCTGGGCCACGCATTTGATTGCTGAAGCACTCAGGAATAACACAGAAGAAATTGTGTGGCAACGAAAAAGAATTTTAATGTCAGCTAGTTAAATACAAAATTTAATAGCTAATGAACTACGTATGAAACTAAATGAAGTAGCCAGTACCAGCTGGTCCTTTCTTGGCTGTTTTGATTTTGCACTCATTTTGTATTATCAGAATATGGTGGGATAGTATGCTGAAGATCCTTATTTGTATTATCCAAGTTGCAAATGCTGAAGGTGGCAGGTTTAGGTAGGTGTCACTTGAGACTCTGGGCACAGACGATGAGTAGAAACAAGTGGGGACAGATAAATGAGTTCGACTATTGGATAAAGGGAGTATTTTTGATAAAGTAACAAAAGTGAAATAGTTTATATGAGAGAACTCCTGTGTGTTGAGCCTTTTGTTGAGGCTGATTCTAGATTTGGCTAGACAACAACATTTTTGGTTCAGAACCAGAGGCAATGGGCACAAACACAGGAGGTTCCTCCTGAACATCAGGAAACACTTATTTACTGTAAGGGTGACCGAGCACTGGCACAGGTTGCCCAGGGAGGTTGTGGAGTCTCCATCCTTGGAGGTATTCAAAAGCCATCCGGACATGGTCCTTGGAAACCAGCTCTGGGTGTCCCTGCTTGAGCAGGAGGGGTTGGACCAGGTGACCTCCAGAGGTTCCTTCCAGCCTCAACTTCTCTGCAATTCTTTGATTCTGTGAACACTGGTCCAGTTTATACTCTTAATATTTCTGATGTCTTCTTCACAACTACAGGAGTTGGAAACGTTTTTTTGGCTATGAATGAAAGTTGAGATTAGTAAGAACAATTCTCTGGCAAAATACCTGGCAAGGGCAGGATTCTACTGCCTGATGCATAGGGGTGCATGGGGCTCCGAACAACACTTTAATGATTTCACTAAATTATAGATCTCTGTTCTCCATTTTGTTCTCTAAGATGAAATAAAACAGTGCTTTCACAATTAAGTGTATCTGTATTGTATCCAGATCTCTGGCAAATGAAATCACTCTCACTGGTCTGGCAGCTTCTCTCTGCTCTTGCGTATTCCCTGCCTCCCTTTGGTTGTGCATCTTCCTTCTTACAATTACTGGGGAAAAATAAGGGAGGGCAGAAATTGTGCGTGCACCACCAGCGGACTGAAAAACTGCTGTTGGTGTCCAAGAGGTCACCAAGGATGATAATTTTTGACAATCTGTAGAGCTGCCTGCTTTCACAGGAGAGCAGTTGGAGGTGAGCAGAAGTGAAATTATTGTATAATTGCAATGAAGTCACATTTACTTGCCAAAGATGGAATGTACCAAATGTGACAGAGTTTAGCATGATCTCAAAGATATACCATATCTGTCATTTCACCGGTGTGGCATTCCCTGCGCCTGTAACGGTTTGTCTTGCAGAAGCAGCTTGTTCAAATTCTTTTGGAGTTCTTTTTCTTCTTTAGCTGGCAGGAAAGTGTTTAGGGTTTTTTTTTAATACATGTATCAGAGAACAGAATAAGAATGAATACCCAGCTGGCATAGTGTGAATTTGCCAATCAAGCATGACTGTACCACTCGCTTAAGACTAACTAGAGATGCATCCAGACAGATAGCACAACCCAGACGTGGCTTTTCTAGCCAAAAAATGGCATGTCATCCATCCCAGGAGTCAAAAAATAACAACAAAAAACCAGCCCACCCCAAAGCCAAACCCCATGAGATTTACTTACAGTCTATCTGGACTGGTTAAAAGCTTTCATACAGATTGCCTAGTTAAGCTGAAAGACATGGGGAACTGAAACAAAGCTGCAAATTCAGTTGGGAACTCACCACAGCTGACTACCCACTGCCCTGGAAGGGTAATGTTTAAACCGGGAGAAGTACTATTACTGTTTCTTAAAGTTTGTTCTGGAACCAATAGTTTGTATTTGCAGATATTTTCATTATTGTGAAGGTGAGAGTGCTCTGGACACAAAGAACTGGGCAGGACTGTCAATAGAAAGGAGGTTCGAAATATCCTACAGAGATGACTACATAATCTTGAGGACTGGCATAACAGAAATGAGATGAAATTCAATAACGGAAAAGATAAGGTCATGCACTTAGACATTTATAAAAAGCATTTTTATTATGGACTGTAAATGACAGACAAATAGAAGGAGTTGCCAGTATTAGTCACTCACAGCATGACCCTGAACCATCAGTGAGATTTGGTCATATAAAAAAGCAAACTAGCTGTATGAGAAAAGGTTGTTTTGGAAGAAATTGGGAGAGACTACCTCCATCGCAAAGACTGGCAATACTTTGTGAAAAACTATTACACATTGCATGTCAGCTATGCTGAAGAAAGCTGAATTCAAACTGTATCTAGTACAGAAAAATCTGAGTTACAGAGGCTCTGGGTTATAGGAGGAGACTAACAAAACTTACTGATAGGCTAGACAAGTTGAGAGTGGCTATGACTACTGCCTGTAAGTATGTTATAAATTTAAATGCAAGGGAAAGAGAAACGCCTAACTGAAACACTGTACGACACAAGGACAAGTGGGTATGAACTGGCCTTGAATGCGTTCAGGCTGGGCGTTAGAAGGAGCTTTCTAAAATAAAGATGAGGGCGGTTCTGGTCCAGCTCTCCAGCAAGAAGTGCAGGAAAAGAGCATATTCAGTGTAAGACGGATCTAGTTGTGTTTATGGAAAGGGCTACATGGAGTATTTGCTCCTCCAACGGCCAAGTACTACCTTCAAAACACAAGATCTGTGCCAGTCCCATGGCCTAAAGATCCAAAAGGTTTACCCGCTTAGCGGACCAGATTGCAGTACGCAGATCTAGCAGGCTTAAGCATCCTGGGCAACGTACCTCAGCAGCCCAGTTACAGCAGAAGGGGCTCCACGCGAGTTAACGTACCTCACCTTGCCCAGGAGCAGAGCTCTTCTGACATCTAGCATCACTGCTAGCAAAAGGAGCAAGTAATTACAGAAGAACGTTTACTTGGCAGAGGCAGTCAGTGTTGAACCCCATATGCCAAAAGGAAATTGCTCTCTCAGTCTTAGTGATGCAGGACTTAGCTCTTCGTCGCCGTATTTAAAAAGACAGCAACCTGACTTTACGTGTCTGACCACCGTGCCTACGCAAAGCTTACTGCTGGATTTATGGCCTTATTCTTGACTGCTCCGGTTAATGAACTACTCGAAGGTCTCCTCACACAAGAGCTATACCTTAGAGCAAGCCAGGTCTCCTCGTGCAAGCTCTATCCCTTCCAGCGAGCCGGTGGCACGCAGCAGCAGAGAGACCGAGGAAATGGGCAGTTCTTGCTCCTGAAAAACAAACGGTTTGTACAGCGGATTAAAAAACTCGCATGAAATGTAAGCGAGAACTCAGACGGGAAAAATTCTTGTTGACTGTAAAGCACCGTCCTGCGTTTTCCCTATGTAAAAATGGTAACAGTGCTGCCAACTTACACAAAGCTTTCGGCCACACGGCAACACGCAGAGGGGGTCTGCGCTCAAGGTACGTGCCTGGCACCTGGTACCCGTGCAGTGCTTCTGACCCTCTGAAGCGTCTCCATGTGAGGGACTGGAAAAACCCTGGGTAGTGAAGGCACCGTGGTACAAAAGTCGCTACCTTCACCGTAAACATATTTATTTACTCGGATCGGTACGAATGCTCCCGCCGTACGTGCTGGGCTTCCGTCCAGTGGAAATTATCCACAACCCTTTCAATGGGTCAACAGCAGCGCCGGTCTCTTCGCTTTCTTCCCCATCCCCACTCACGCCGCCTTATTAGCGACTAATAAACCATCGCGTGGGATGCCAGGCCACGCCGCCAGCGCCCCTCCTTCCCCGCCGCCCCTC